CTCTGGGGTCTTTCTACTCTCATCAAACATGGCAAAGATGTAAGTTTCAATGGGTCCAGGCTTCCTTGGAGTCCCTACCTTCACATGTTGAATCAAATTCGAGTTATAAGTCCTCGCATTATCAACTGTTGTTGCCGTCCCACCAGCTGTCGGCCAACCACTCTCCGATACAACAATTTGCAAAGATCCTCCACCGACCTTGTCAAGCGCAGCGTAAACAGCATCCAAAATGGCATCGAAAAGATTACGATAACCACGTTGGCCATCTTGTACTACAACTGACGGAGCTGTGAAAAGAGCATAATCTAGACGAATGTCACGAGGGTTGCCAATATAACTAAAATAAGGATACAAATTAACGAGTAGCGGAGATTTATTGTCCACCAGGAACCGGACAACAGGATTCAAAATTGGGCTATAGTCACCCTTAAATTCTCCTTTTGATGGAGGAAAGGAATTTCCAAGCACACCGGTGTCTATGGCGGTGGAAACTTTGATTTGGTTTCCAAGACTGGCACTGGAAATCGCATTTTGAATGTTCCGCATGGCCGGGACCAGAAATTGGGCAGACGAGTCCGAGGGCTGGACTTCGTTTCCTACGGCAATGTATTTGAATCTTACATTGGCATAGTTTCTGACATTGTTTTGGACCCATGTATTTGCATTGGCTTGACTTGAAGCAATGTTTTGAAGTTGGTCCTTTGGTATGTCTAATATGAGCTCAATGTCAGAGCCTCTGAGGGCTGCTAGAGCTGCTGGGTTCGGATCATATAGTCGCATTCTTCGGATGTTATTTTGCTTGTAGAGAGCAATAACTTCTGCTGGGGGTGGTAAGTCTCCCAACATTCCATAACATACACCAATTTGGGCGCCTGTAATATATCAAAAAAGAAATTAATGAATTAATTAGATATATTGTCACAAAAAGCATCACAATGAATATGGGAAAAGTATATTGCAAGCGGTTTTTTATGCAAAGGTGTTGAGTCCTTGAATGATGACATAGGTTCGAACTCCATAAGTGACTAATCTACCTCTCGTTTATAAGTAAAGAAGAATATCATTAGACCGTAGTATTAAGTGATTGTTGCTATTTGAACCTCCTTTATGTGTTTGTGTGCATGTAACATGCATATGCAGTGAGAGAGAGAGAGAGAGAGAGAGAGAGAGAGAGAGAGAGAGAGAGAGAGAGAGAGAGAGAGTAAATGTATACCTGTTGTTTCGAAGCTGGCCATCAGCTGCCCAAGAACAAGTATCAAGGAAATCACAGAAGGGCCTCTGGCTCTACCAACTGATGAACTTGATTTAGCCATTGTATTTGAAGTGCCTCCGAATGTTGCCCCTTGCTCTTGAATTTATAGAGATAAGAAACAGGTCAGTCTGTGACGTCAGTCTGACTACGAAATAGTACTCAAGAACTAAAGTCTGTCTGACTACGAATAGTACTCAAGCAGTAACTTATACCAAATTATACGGCAACTATTTATTATTTCAAACTTATTGAAACTGCATATATACGACGATCTAATTATATTTGTTGTTCATAATATATGACGTTCTAGTTATGAGCAAATTGTTGTCCTCATCCTTGTTTCCTCTCGAGTTTTGCCAAGTCAAGGCTTCCACTACAGAATCGTCAAGGATTATTCCGGAATCAAGTTTTGAGAAGTCAAGGTCAAGGATTGAAATATCGGTTGATACATCAATATATTGGCCGATATATCGATATTTTCAACTGTCAATATCGATACTAGGGGGTAAGGCCATATCTTCCTCTATATCGACGATATATCCCCGATAGTGCGATATCTCCGATATTTTGCCGATATTCTCGATATTTCCCGATACCTATAACAAAATCCAAAAAAATTCAAAAGTTTTGAAGCAAATTGAAACCTAAAAGATTTTTTTGAGGTATGTGGGCGGTGATTAGATATGTGTGAAGACTTTTGGCAATATCCAATTCAAAAGATTTTTTGGAGTATCCATTAATTATTACTATAAAAAAATCTATGCACAATGGATTGAGAGGACATACATGCCTTATCTGAAGAGAAAGAAATACACAAATCCAAATATTAAATTTCTGGTCAAATATATCTTTGATACCCGCAAGAAAATGATGCACATGTGTCTAAAAATGACTACATAGACATTCTTGACATCATAGTCTGAAATATCGAGGATATTTCGGTTTTTTCGAATCACGGATATTTCGGAACATATCCATGTACATATCATACAAATATCGACAGTATCGACGATAATATCAAAAAATATCGACGTCGATAATTTCGCTCACACTTCAACAATATTTTGTCAAAATATCGGTGTAATATCGCTAAAATATCGATGTAAAGGAAGGAAAAAAAAAGGAAAAAGAAGAAGAAAAAGGGAAAAAAGGGAGGAAAAAAAAACACAAAGGGGATTTGAACCCCTCCCATTTTACTCCTCCGACACCTTAACCACGATATATCACTTATATTTTAGTGACAATATGCTAAAATATTTATATTTATATGAGTGGCATGTTAACAATTACATGCAAAACTATTTTGGGGATTTATCATTTGATGAATACTCTTCACAATAAACTTACTCTACACATAGAGATGATGAAGATAGTGAAAAATTTGAACCTCATAGGAACTTTATGTGGTACTAAATCACTCATGTATCTTACCGTGCAATGTATAAAGTGTAAAATATTGTAGTAAATCATTATATATAAATGATTATGTTGTGTTTAATCATTTTTTCATTAATTACTACATATTTTCTACACTCACAGTGTTTGCCAGCTCGTTGTATAACCAACTTAAATTAGTTAAATCCATCATGTAATGCATTTCCTTCTATTTTTTTTTTTTTTGATAAACTAATAGATAATTGACTAAATAAACATTCTCCAAAGTTTCAATAAAAATTTCCAAGTTTTTCTCTTACAATTTCCGTGGTTTTTATTCAATTTTTATCGATATCGATAATATCCCGATATTTCCATCGAAATTTCCATATTTTTGGACTACCGATATTTCCGATATCATCGATATTTTATACCATGCTTGACATTGCAGGGAAACCATCTGATGATGATAATAATCCAATTCAACAATGGATTATGACAGCTCACTTGGATGATGAACAAGGCAACCCTGATGCCATTATAGCACAACATGCTGCCCAACACATATTTGGAGGCACAAATCCAACTAATTGAATTAACAAAAAAAAAAAGAGGATATTTTTATGCTTTTTTTTTTTTTTTTTTAACCATATAAAAGGATTAGTTAGTAGCCTTTTTCTATCAATAGAGATGGTAAAAGAATAATGCTAGGGAAATTAAATTTGTAGATAAAATTTGTAAATTAAATGATGTGTTACTAATGGAAAATGAGCACGTTTATTAGTGCTTAAGTAATAATCAATCATCAACTTCTACGTCATTTAATTTACAAATTTTGTATTGCTTTGTTTAATTATGCTTAATGTATTTCATTTTTCACATGCATTGGTTAGTTGCAAAAGAAAAGATAAAACTTTACAACCAAACCAAATTATGTTATAAGAAATAGTTCGAAAATGCTGATTCTCGGTATCAGGCTCAAGATTTATAAACTTGGCTTGTATAAAAAGCAAGCCAAATCTAACTAAAGTTCGGAAAAAATTAAAAAGGCCAAGCTTGAGCACTGTGACATACAGTTCATCTCGGCTCGGTAACAGTCCTAGTAGTGGGTTTACCATAATCATCAGGATAATCATCGCTTGTTGGATGATGCCATTTTAAACGGGAAGAGATCCTCTCCATTTTAAACATAATACAAAGTTAACAAAAAAATTAAAAAAAAAATCATTAAAATCCAAAATGATATTATTGACTTTGTCTCTTAATGAGTTAACGTCCTTCTGGGGACATTACAATATGTACAAATTCTATAAGGACCTTGTAATTTAAATTGCTAAGAGAGGCATTCCTACACTCGAGATATTGTGTTTAAACTTCGGTTTAATAATATTCTTCTTTATTTATAAGTGAGAGGGTTTAAGTTCGATTATCGTTAAATACAAATTTAAATCATATTATTACTAGTTTATTGTGAGATTAAACCATCACCATCTCCTTCTTCTCCTCTTTAGTGAGATAATATAGTTTGTTAAAGGATATTATTGGAGCCTAGATAGATGGATGAGGACCATTCTAGTGTGCGCAAAAACGCTTGACTTCCGTGTTTCAGGATCGATGCCAAAAAAATTAATGAAAAAATTGATGGTGTCGGCTGTATTGTGCTTATCCTTCAAAATTATATGTGGAAAAATGAGACTCGTCCTTTGGCACTAGCTAGTTAATTTGTGGACAAAACTTTTGAGACTCCGGACAGCGTTATGTGGAAAATAAAGACTCAGACGAATCAAAGTTGGGGGCATTCATAGGACTTTGACCTTTCTTAGCCTCTAAACTAACATTTAATGATGTACATATAGAATTGGGATATTGAGAGATTTTAAATTTTTTTTACAAACTCGTATATTTAATTTGGATTTAAGTGATTGCCTGAAAGTTTAGGTGTATTCAATTAAGATTTCAAAGAAGTTTGTTGTCACGTCCCGATCCCGACGTACGTCCAAGATTGACACGTGATGTCACCAAATACCCGTATCTCAACATACCCCGTCTCCGGGATATGGTAAATCACAACTTGAGAATCGAATCACATAGTAATTTTTCGTATACTTTATGACTTCATCTAACCTCCTCGTTAGACTGCCTACATACACTACTAGAAATTTGGCCATAAGCCACCCTTTTCATTGGTGGCTATTGTCAAGTGTTGCCACTCACATTGGTGGCAAACCTCTATGGCCACCAAGCACCCACTAAACTAGATAGTGTGGCCTATGTAGAGGACTTTATTGTAATAATGGCTATCAATATTGCATTGGTGCCTTTCCTGCAGTGGCACCCTAATTCACATCGGTGGCAAAATTGCAAAATAATATTAAAAAAAAAAGATGCCCTGTGTGGGCACCCAAATTGGAGTATCATATTTCTTTTTCTGCTTTTGGTGAGAAAACAAATTATAAGATCATTAAAATATAAGAATACAACTATAAATTTGTATAACTGATATTTTATACAATTTTGTACAAATGTTGGAACCAAACTTTAAAAAGTCTTCGAACCCCTTGTTTCCAAGAGTTTAATCATCTCAATAACTTGAATCTGATCATCAGCTGCAGCCTGCACCCAAAATTAAACCCACAAATTTCGTAAGAATAACGTTTAACTGAAGAATAATTTACCATACAAAAATCTCCACAAATTCACTGCAACCCTTCTGCAACTTCAACTAAAATTGACAAGTTCATGAATATGCAGACCACCTTCAATCTTGAAACAACAAATGATCTCCCAATCAATGGGCAGAAGACAAGATACAAACAATGCATTTACTTATGAATTAGGGAGAACAGAAATGAGACAGAATATCAGTGAAGAGTGCGTGCATACTCACACATATAAATGCATTAATATTTTCTCTTTTTTCAGAAACTCAAAAAACCAGAAAATTCCAATACAAGAGTTTAGGATAGAAACATACAAGTCTTCCGAGAAGGAAAGCAGCCCCTGCACCTAAAGTGGCTCCAATTGAATCAGCAACAAAGCCAACAGGTAGCCCAAAAAGATAACCACCACCGAGCTGAACCCTTAAAATGAGGAATCACAAAAGGGTGCAAACTAGCAATTAAATAAAAATACAGAATTTCTTTTTTGAAAATCTTTCCTCTCTGTTTCGCCCTAGACCATGAATATAACAGTAAAAGAAAACTATAACTATAAGTGAAGTATGCAAAGCATATGCTAGATCCTTAGTCCACAAGAATTAAAGTGCATTAACAACAATTGCTAAGGCATCGGACAAATGCTTACAGTAAGTACTGAATGTTATATATTTAACACTTGTAGGATTAGACTGAATGTAAGACATATATATAAAGACACTTCATACACAAGTAGCTATACAACTAGTAAGTAGACCCAAATGCTTACAGTAAGTACTGAATATAACAGGATTAGACTGAATGTAAGTGGTATTAGGATCCCACCTTAAGCAGAAAATTTGCTCCGACCACAAGACAGTCCATTTCATCTGCCTTGTCAAGAGAAATCCCAAGCTTTTCTTTAAAAAGATCTGCGTACTTGAATGCCCCACCACCTGTGGCCTGCTCACCATTGTCACGAGTCAATAAATTAGCTTGTATACATGCCAGAAAACAGTGATACAGTGGCCAAACCAAACAGTTGGTATTACCTTAATAATGCACGTCGTGCTCCCGGAAGCTCCGTGTTGCTGGGAGCCTGAAATCATCTACAACTACTGAACAAGCAGCTATATTCAGGACATATATGATCTTCTTTCGTATTTCATTTTCAGAAGTTTAAATCTTCTGAAACTACAAAAATTCTGCAGTCGAAAATATGGGTACTAATTACTTAAGCTGAAGTAGTTCATTTACCAATAAAAATGGTAGTTTGAACTTTCAATCCAAGATTTCAACATCAGCACTTAGTTTAATAAAACAAGGTTAAAAAGTCTCAATTAGTGAAAAAATGATTCTTCCCATATCCCAAGTTGATTGAAACGAAAAATGATACAAATGAATCAAGAGATGGAAAGTAATCAAATACTGCCCTATGCAAACCTCTCAAACATCTTGAGATTTTTTTATTTTCTTTTTCTGCCAACACATCTTCAGTTTGGATAAACAACAATGTGAAGACAATCAGCGAAACTCTTCAGTTTGGATAAACAGCACTACTGCCGTAGAATTAGTCGACCGAGGAGCACCTTCAGTTTGGATAAACAGCATTGCGTTGAGGCCGACTGGTTACCTATCCAAGTCTCAGTCGAGAAGCGTTTTCGAATCCTTATTGGCAGAGGTCATCTTATTAGCATTCTCAACCAAGTAAGGTGTTACAAGTTACTACATTCGGCGCATTGAACGCAGAGTGATTTTATGATTGGATACTCACAAGTGAGTTTCAGAGTTCGGCATTCTAACAGCCGAACCACGTCTACCATCAAGACATACATTTCTTTTGAGTACGTGTGTCCATATAATTTGGAGCTCGTTCGACGTGTTTATACTCTTCCGAATATAATTACCGTGATCGAACCCAGTGCCGACGATACGTGAACTTCGCAGAACTAACAGCCTTATCTTCAGGCTCGAGAACCCGAAGGCCGAGACGTGTTCCTTCCTCGGTTGCAGTTGCAAGATCAAGAAGTAAGTAGGGCGCTCAATGCGACATCAACAAATTTTACTCCTCGACCGAGCTCGACTGATCAGTTGGCACGTCCTGCATCAACCGAAGGACGTATTGAGCTCATTAGTTACTCGGCCTGCACGCCACGCAGACTTTATAATTTTTAGGGTCAACAGTTAGATAGAAATTGATATCAATTTGTCCTAAAATGGTGAAACTTATACAATGGTATTATGATGATTTTAGATTAGACTGGTACTGTCCCCATAAAGAATTGTGGCTATGTTTTGCTAGGCATTCCGGCTATGGCGGTTATGGAAACTGGGACAGAGGAGCTAGAATTGTGGAAATCACTCAAAAGCCTTTCTGCGTTTAAATCTTGGATAAGAATGGAGGATGGCAATGTCTATAGTGAAGTTGTCTTGAGTCCTCGAAAACTTTTTCATTCTAATTTTATGTGCTATTGCAACAGAAAGAGAAGTTTTCCATCTTTACAAAAATACAAAAAAATAACATGAAAATAAGTAATACCCTATACATACACACGACCATACATCTTTCTGTATATAAACTGTTTACATTTTGTTTTTTCACTGCTCAATATATGTATGAACAATATGATATGATGCGTAGATACTGCAAAGCCAGAAATAAATTTCAAATTATGGATCGTGACCCTACGTTTTCTATGTGACTACATATAACTTTGCAGTTTTTATTTAGTAGGTTGATTCAAAAATCAAGAATGTGTCACATTGTTTATACCTATATTTGGCACCTTCTACATAGCATGGTCATCATTTTGAATTTAGTCATAGTGAAAAAAATAAAAAATAAAAATAAGGAAGTGAGTCATTATCATTTTTTAATGGAAATAAAATCAAGGCACGAGAGGCGATCAAGGGGCATTGATTGAGAGTGGATGATATCAATTAGGGTCAAGTACAAAAAACTACTTCAATTATTGGTGTCCCGACACTTTCATACTTCATCTTTTAAAATTGAAAATGTCATACCTCATCTTTAGAATTTGGTCCAATGTTATACCTTCCGTTACTTGGCCATTTACTTTTTAGTTAAATGCTGACATAGCTTGATTCGGGGTTCACTTTGTATTAAAAAATTATTAAAAACTAAAAAAAAAATATTTAATATTTTTTAAATATTAAAATAATAATAAAAAGTTAAAAAGAAAAAAAAGAAAATAACCCTTAGTTCTTCCCTCCCCTCCCCCCCCCCCCACCCCTTCCTCTCTCTTCTCCCCATGTTCATCTTCTTCTCCCCACTTGCAAACCCCATAAATAAATAAATAAATAAATAAAATAAAATTTGAAAACCCATCAAGCCCCCCCTTGCAAAAGGAGGAAGAAGAAGAAGGAGAAGGAGAAGGAGAAGGAGAAGGAGGAAGAAGAAGAAGAAGAAGAAGAGGAAAAAAAGGAGAAGGAGGAAGAAAAAAAAAAGAAAATTCCCCCCACCGGCGTGCGCGCACGGGGAAGAAGAAGAAGGAGAAGGAGGAAGAAGAAGAAGAGGAAGAAAAGGAGAGGGAGGAACAAGAAGATGAGGAAGAAAAAGAAAAAAAAAAATTGAAAACCCATCAACCTCCCCCCCCCCTGCGGAAGAAGAAGAAGAAGAAAGAGAAGGAGAAGGAGAAGGAGGATGAAGAAAAAAAAAAGTTTTTTTGAAAACCATCAACTCCCCTGCGGAAGAAGAAGAAGGAGAAGGAGAAGGAGAAGGAGGAGGAAAAAAAGGAGGAAGGGAAAAAAAAAAAATTTTTTTTTTGAAAAACCATCAAACCCCAAATCCACCACTCTCATCCATTCTCCACATCCTCTTCCGCACCCATCCTCCACTTCTCTGCGTACCCATCTTCCCGTCGACGGGATTTGGGGGTTTTTTTTTTTTTTTGGGGAAGAGGGGGAACTGAGTGTGGGTGTTGGGGAAGTCAAATTGGATTTTTTTTTTTTTTTTTTTTTTTTGGGGGTTTGCAGGTGGGGGAAGAAGATGAAGATGGGGAGAAGAGAGAGGAGGGGGAGGGGAGGGACGAAATGAGGGTTTATTTATTTAATTTTTTTTTACTTTTTATTATTATTTTAATATTTAAAAAATATTAAAAATTTTTTTTAGTTTTTAATAATATTTTAATGATTTTTTAATAGAAAGTGGTGCCCGAATCAAGCCATGTCAGCATTTAACTGAAAAGTAAACGGCCAAGTAACGGAAGGTATAATACTGGACCAAATTCTAAAGATGAGATATGACATTGGCAATTTTAAAAGATAAGTTATGAAAGTATCGTAACACTAATAGTTAAGGTAATTTTTTGTACTTTACCCTATCAATTAATATATAGAATCCTCTAAGTCACTGTTAAAGTTCTCCGACCAAAACATTCAACTTATCTTTTTAGTGTCCATGCACACACGTGCTTTTGTCTCCTTCTACTTCTTCTTCTTTTTTTTTCTTTTTTTTTTTATTTTTAAAAATTTTTATTTTCAAAATGTAGCCTTCTTATCTTTCTATTTCTAATTAATTTTAGTTCCCGCAAATTATTTTCTCACACCTAGCGTAATTTATTTTATTGCACTTAGCATAAAAGTTATTCTCTCAAACTTTGAGTAATTTTTATTCTATTGCAATTTATTTTCTCTGAGCTTACTCTCTCGCATTTTATTTATCGTAATAGAAATATCGTAACATAATAACTTATCAATTTGATTCATTTGGGTTAATGCGATTCACCTCCTCATACATTGCATCACAACATATCAATCACCAAACTTGTTTCTACCCATCCATTCACTCATCATGTTGCAGGAACAACACCCATCTCAAGAGTCCTTGCACCCCAGGCATAGAGAACCTATAGGTCACATTTCAAACCGTAACTAAAATATCCAACTTTTCTTTATTCACTTGGCCTTAGGAAATGAGTTGGCACTCCTGCAACACAAACTTGAAGGGCCAAGAGATCCCGAAATCTTTGGCATATTGGCTGAGGCCGATTTTAGACCAACATGTCCTCCAGGATTTATTGAATCCAACAGCTGAGATCGAATATAATTAAATCTAACGGCAACAAAAAAGATCATAAAAAAGTACAATAACATAACATAAAAAAACTGAAAAAAAATATAATGTAAACATAAAAACACACGAAAACCATTTATCTCTTGGTATATTAACCGTATTCATTTTGTTTATTCAGACTGAGATATTACAAAGCCATAAATAAATTTGAAGTTCTCTAGGCCTTGAGTCACCTTACATTTTTTGTGGCACTGCGTATATAACTTAGCAGTTTTTATTTAGTGGGTATAATTGCAAACCACAGCCTCCCTTTATTTTCACAGTACATTTGCTTGGGTATTTAGGCTGTTTGTTAGGGGAGAATATCCCCCAATGTTTCTCAAGCTCTGGGGTCTTTCTATTCTCATCAAACATGGCAAAGATGTAAGTTTCAATGGGCTTTCCAGGCTTCCTTGGAGTCCCTCCCTTCACATGTTGAATCAAATTCGAGTTATAAGTCCTCGCATTATCAACTGTTGTTGCCGTCCCACCAGCTGTCGGCCAACCACTCTCCGATACAACAATTTCCAAAGATCCTCCACCGACCTTGTCAAGCGCAGCGTAAACAGCATCCAAAATGGCATCGAAAAGATTACGATAACCACGTTGGCCATCTTGTACTACAACTGACGGAGCTGTGAAAAGAGCATAATCTAGACGAATGTCATGAGTGTTGCCAATATAACTAAAATAAGGATATAAATTAACGAGCAGCGGAGATTTGTTGTCCACCAGGAACTGGACAACAGGATTCAAAATTGGGCTATAGTCACCCCTAAATTCTCCGTTTGATGGAGGAAAGGAATTCCCAAGCACACCGGTGTCTATGGCAGTGGAAACTTTGATTTGGTTTCCAAGACCGGCACTGGAAATCGCATTTTGAATGTTCCGCATGGCCGGGACCAGAAATTACGCAGATGAGTCCGAGGGCGTGACTCCGTTTCCTACGGCAATGTATTTGAATCTTACATTGGCATAGTTTCTGACATTGTTTTGGACCCATGTATTTGCATTGGCTTCGCTTGAAGCAATGTTTTGAAGTTGGTCCTTTGGTATGTCTAACATGAGCTCAATGTCAGAGCCTCTGAGGGCTGCTAGAGCTGCTGGGTTCGGATCATATAGTCGCATTCTTCGGATGTTATTTTGCTTGTAGAGAGCAATAACTTCTGCTTGGGGTGGTAAGTCTCCATTCATTCCATAACATACACCAATTTGGGCGGCTGTAATATATTAAAAAAGAAATCAATGAATTAGTTTGATATGTTGTCACAAAAAGCAGCACAATGAATATAGGAAAAGTATACTGCAAGTGGCTCTTTACCAAAATGGT